GTTTTGCATCTGAATCTTCATAAAATGCCGTGTTGTAAGTAGGAGAAAACCATACAAAAATAGTAAAGGGTAAATTATTACTTGGGATAAGTCACAGTTGGATTTTACTTGTGTTAAATTTATAATAATCATAATATGCAGGAATATGTACATGACACGAATAGTTCACTGCTATTTTTTTATTATTATAACTTTTAATACTTTTCTCATAATCCCATCACTTATCTCTAAACCAATATATAAGAGGTTAAGCCCCCAGAACGAGATACCAAGATAAGTGACGTGTCCACAATACCTGCTTTTTATACTAAACTTTCAATCCATGTTAATGGTGGATAAATAAATCTTATTGGTATAAAATGTAGCTGTAGCTGTACTTACGTATCGTGTAACTTGAACAAACCTTATTTTTAAAAGTATACAGGTATAAATGTTAAGCGTAATCCAAACATTTAATTTTCAAGCACACTCTGTACCGTTTGTTTTGAGCGTGTCGAAAGCTTAAATGTAAACAATTCTGAAGGCGGCAAGAAATGTTACAATCACGTTATAGGAGCCGACTTTTCCGTTAATGGAGTGTCACTAAAATGTTTTTATAGAGTTTGACTTATTTAAAAAAAACCCGTAAATTTCTAAATAAAACTTCCGCCTTCTAAATAAAACGTCCACACCTTTGATGGTTGGTGAAAATTGGTTTATTTGGGATGACGACATCACAGCTTACTGTGTGTTAAGTAGTGCGTCTAGTTTCGCTTAACGAAGCTTGTTGCTGATAACCTTATTTCTGTAATCTGACGAAGCATGTTGCGGATAATAACATTTACTTTTAGGTTAGGAATATTGTGTTCTTTTTTTTATAGTAAATAAATTAATTATAATTCGCTTAATTGTAACTTAAAATACTAAGGACTAGCACAGTTAATTAAAACTAATTTTACGGTTTAATCTCGCGATTTTTGTTGTCTTTTTATTATTACCAACGTTTCGAATGCCTTACAGTTTTTCGTGGGCACGGATGCCTAAGCTGTTGTTCTTCGGCCTTTGAATATTGGACTATCAACAGTTTATTTTTTTTATATGAAAATATCTATCCACTTTTACGTTTTGACATTAAGCCGTAAAGTACTTAGCGCTCTAGTGAAGGGCAAAATCGATCCGGTATCTATTATTTATGAGTTCTTTGCCGAAAGCCAGCCGGCAGGCATGAACTGGGACCGTAGTTGGGCAGCAGTGGACCAGAGAAACATATTATATTGATATGAGAAAAATGAGTAAATACAGGAATTTTATTACGTTAGGCTTGGTATTAATGTCGGTGGGGGCGTTCACGACGTTGTTTCTATGGGTTCTGATAAAAAAATGTAGTATCCATGATCGTTTATAGATAGTTATTTGAGGCATGCGTGAATTAGTGATATAATAATATTATATAACTAATTCTTTGAGGTTCAGAGTCCACACGTATTGGACATATAGTTTAGTCTTACATTAGTCTTAAGACCGCAAAGGGTTGATTCCACTTATTCATTCTCTGACTAATAGCGCAAGCATAGGTGTTTGATTGCATTAACGTTTGAACTGGTATTTGTGAGCCCGCATGCGTATACGGGTACTATCCTGCCCATTATGTATAATATATAATTATATATAATGTATAAAATAATATGTGCGTATTGTGTTGCTTTTGCTTTTTGTAATTTAAATTTCTAAATTTCTCTTCTTGTTCACTTTCTACTTATATGTGATTTTGATTGTGGAAACATATTTGGTTATTGTTTTAGCTATATTTTTTTTAAATATTATATGTTTGTATTGTAGTGTTTGTTTTCCAAACAAATAAATAAATTTCTGCCGCAAAACAGTAATGTGTTCCCGTTTTTAAAATCATGTCCCAATGTGAATATGTGGCAATCATGTCTATCTATAGAGTCCAGTGACCGCTCGGTACGCACTATACTGTGAGCTTATTTACTCAACTGCCTCAATAAAAATACTTAGTTACGAATGTGATAACAGTATAAAATAACGTAGGTAATTTTGGTTCTTTTCATCGAAGGGTCAAAAGGGTGTGGAACTACGGGATTTGATTTATTCCGTTCAATCAATGTGCTCTCTGAAAATACAGCTTTTAACGATAGGGTTCAGAACTTTATTGCTGTGTAACATTTATTTTACTGTTAAGTTATAATATGTTTTCATGACACGAAATATTTTTCTCCCGGACAATTTCGATCGTTTTTATATAAATAATATAGCTACAATAAAAAAATACAACATAAAGTGCTTAGAAATGATCGCTACACATTACCAACAATTTTTTAGAAAGAAAACAAATCTGAATTAATTTTATATTGTTGAAAATCACGTCATGTTCTACGCAAAGAATGTTCAAGCAACAGTGGCGGCGTCACAGTAATCTTAGAATAATAGTATAGGTAGATTATCGCTACAAGTGAGCACAGACTGTGGAAGGTTTGTACGTATTTATAGCCTAGAGTTATTACGGTGTCTGGAGCCTCCAATGTTGCTATTTTAAGACTCGCCTAGCTGAGTGCTGTAAGGCTATTGCCAAAACTCCTATTTATTACTACTAGTCGATATCATTTGACCTAAATTTATAATGAGGTCAGAAGATCTTACATGATCAAAAGTTTGTCCGGTTTTTAATCAGAAGATATGTACAGGTACTTGACCTCGGCCATGGACCCTAATATTTATTTTGGGTAGGCATTTTATATATTTGTTCTTTTATTTATTTCATGTTAATTTCTGTATTTTAATTATTTACTTACGTAATTGTTATTTTAATACTAATATACTTTTAAGGAATCTACTAACATAATGATAAGTCCGGGTTACTATAATAAATAGATAATGAAAATAATAATTGGTAATACGTAGGTTGCGCATCCAGTTTAGCAGTACCACTGTCCCACGTTTCTCTGTTCGCAATTATAGTTGAAGAGTCCGATAGTTTTTGTTCCAATAAAACGAAGACAAAAGTAGTAGTGTGAAGAATAATGTACCGTATCCCACATATACAGTTGTCCATGTAAACAATTAACTGGAGCAGCTTGTACTTTCAGTGAAAGTTGTTTCTTATTTGTTTAAATATAGGGAGGATAATAACTATTGAGTAAAACTATAAAATAGTGTATATGTAGATATGTCCATTATAATAGCATTAAGATCCGTAAGTTTGAGTTACGTCGTGGGTTTATTCAATCTTACAATTGCAGATATGCAGAACCCAAATATAATAAACACTTGTTCAAGAAACACGGCTCGTTAGAAGAAATATTGTAACATTAATACACGTTCCTCGCTAAGAAACCTTTTATTGGGTGAGAGAATAAAGTGAACTTGAATTGTAGAAAGATAGCCTTTTTGTGGTCGTCGTGGCCTAAAGGATAAGGCGTCCGTTGCATTCGTATCTTGTGATGCACCGGTGTTCGAATCCCGCGGGCAGGAACCTATTTTTCTAATGAAATGCGTACTTAACAAATGTTCACGATTGACCTCCACGGTGAAGGAATAACATCGTGTAATAAAAATCAAAACTCGCAAAATTATAATTTGCGTAGTTACTGGTGGTAGGACCTCTTGTGAGTCCGCACGGGTGGGTATCACCACCCTGCCTATTTCTGCTGTGAAGCAGTAATGTGTTTCGGCTTCAGCTTGAAGCCGTTGTAACTATACTGAGACCTTAGAACTCATATCTCAAGATGGATGGCGCATTTACGTTGTAGATGTCTACGGGCTCCAGTAACCACTTAACACCAGGTGGGCTGTGAGATCGGCCACCCATCTATGCAATAAAAAATAAATAAAAATTCATGGTAAAGTCAAATTTGATATTACCTATATCGTTCTTTTTTATTGAACTACAGATAAGCAAGTTTAATTTCTTAAGCAACGTGTAATTGCTAGGCATACGTCTCAATGTGTATAATTTAAATGCTTCGCGAGCTCTTCCGTAAAATGACAGCTGTAATCAGCTATGTATGTTTTATTACATTAAAGAACGTGGGATGACAAAGAGCTACGTGCACTTCCTATACTAAACTAGTAATTTCATTTTACATACCCATAAAACTAGTACCATTAAATATCACAGTACAAACTACATGATTTGATATCTAAAAGATCACTTACATCCTAACTAAATCTTTCTCTTTCGCTTTAATATTATAATTAACTCATATAATTTCGTGTAAATTAAGTAACATTTCGTTTAAAATGTTCGTTTAATATAATGTAATTAGGTATAATAAGTCTGCGAAATTTTTAAGTCAATAAATTTATTTATTATGTATGAGAGCTTACCGAATGCTGATTTTCTTGTATCTATACGTTAATTCGTTTAAAAATCAATTGACATTTTTATTATACGAATAGTCACTTTAAGAATTCTTATAGTAATTCATTGACGTAGCTATTTTGCGGTGACGCGTCGGGGTCAGAGAGTTCAGGACCGAGGCGGGCACGCGGTTGCCTACCGGCCTCCACACTGAATTCTGGAAGCTGGAACTCGTCTGAAACACTGTGAAGTCGGCGGGAACGCTGCAGTTTCGTACGCCGACCTATTTCGGACGATACGATACGGGGATTCAACAAACTCACCGGTTTGATTATTGCATTCGCTATCGCTTCGAACGCCGTCAATTGTCAATCGGATTCGTGATCTTTGTGTATGTGCTCATGAATATATTTGCCTCGGATTGAACTTGTCTATTTTTACTTTCGACGCACATTGAAAAGCCAGGGGGTTGTTTACGAGTTTTGATGACGCAGACCTAGGGTCTCAGAATATTATTTGATTTTTGATTTTGATTTTTAAATCGAAATTTATTGAAGAAAAAATATATACAGCGATTTGTGCTATGAACTATTTTGTTGACGTTCAGGAATGTGTTTGTTTAATTATTGGAGTTTTACTTATAACTAAAATTACTTATGTGTATTTTGGACGATACGATACGGGAATTCAACAAACTCACCGCTTCGATTATAATTGCATTCGCTATTCGCTTCGAACGCCGTCAATTGTCAATCGGATCTGTGATCTTTGTGTAGGTATGTGCTCATGAATATATTTTGCCTCAGATTGAACTTGTCTATTTTTACTTTCGACGCACATTGAAAAGCCAAGGGGTTGTTTACGAGTTTTGATGACACAGACCTAGGATCTCAGAATATTATTTGATGATTTTGATTTTTAAATTGAAATTTATTGAAGGAAAAAATATATACAGCGATTTGTGCTTTAAACTCCTTTTATTCACGTTCAGGAATCTGTTTGTTTAATGATTCGAGTTTTTAATGAGTTTTATCTATAACTAAAATTACTTATGTGTATTTTTGTGAAGTCCGTTCAATATTCCACATCTAAGTTTGCGTCCTCGAAGTACATAAGAGACATTTGAATTTAATATCGTTCACATTTGGTGACCGCATAAATCCTTTAAAGCCCGACCCATAAATCCTTAAGTATAACCCTTCCGGTGCAAGAAGTCGCAAAATTTGACTGGTAAAATGTGACCAGAATACTCCAGGCCAACAACGCGTGAGTAGATAAATCTTTTGAGTTTTATCTGAAATACTTTATATTATAGTTCGGTTAATTTTAGTTCCAATTTGTATTTAGTTTTTTTTTAATTATCTGTTACTTAAATACTTGTCATTGTTCAAAACAGGAAACGCACGTCAAATGATTCTTTGATTAATCAAAAATATATTGGTTCACGAACCCGTCATCTCTCGCATGAGACACGCGTAATGCAGTTAGGCCACAAGCTTGATTAACAACACAAAGCAATTAATAGATTTAAATTTTGTTTTTGAAATCTCAACTTTATTTCAGTAAAATGAAAGCGCGCTTACTGGCCTTTTTAGAACTTTGCAAGAGCTCGGGCTAAATTTCCAGACGGAATCAGGAGTTTTGTTAAAGGGATTTTGTATTTATTCTTGTTTCGTATGCGTTTCCGGCCGTATCGTTTTTTAAGTATATATTTATTGTTATAATTGTATTATATACTAATATATATTTTTATAAATTATATTCTTCAACTTATTCGCGTGTCATCTGTCGTATTTTTATGGTACTATGACAAAATACTTTGCTGGAGTGCTAGAAATAACCAACTTTAATACCAACCACACACACTTTTTTACTGGTGGTAGGACCTCTTGTGAGTCCGCGCCGGTGGGTAGCACCACCCTGCCTATTTCTGCCGTGAAGCAGTAATGCGTTTCGGTTTGAAGGGTGGGGCAGCCGTTGCAACTATACTTGAGACCTTAGAACTTGTATCTCAAGGTGGGTGGCGCATTTACGTTGTGGATGTCTATGGGCTCCGGTAACCACTTAACACCAGGTGGGCTGTGAGCTCGTCCACCCATCTAAGCAATAAAAAAAATAAATAAAAAAAAAACAATTTTAAGCGGAATTACAAACGAACATTGAACTTGATTTAGGTTATTATACAGGACAAAGATTATTCCGAAAACTTAGTTTTTTCAATCCACAAGACAACTGTTACGACTGCTGCGTATTTGAGTTTAATTTAAAGTTTTAACGCAATCGTTAGGCAATGTAAATTTGCGCAGTTTTTTTCGTGAGATGCGAGATTGATTTGCTTTTAAATAGTTTCCAGCGCGGGCCATTAGATAAGCTCAATTTTTTGCCTCGCGATATCGGAAAAAATTATCCCTATTTCGTAGCCTCATCATGATGATCTTGTAATGTATTCTAGACGTTTATACTCTAGATTTTTCCATATGTATTAGAATAATTATTGCGTCCACTATTTTTACATATTTTGGTTTGAGTTTTACATTGACTAGTCAAAATCAAAATTAGATTATAATCATTGGCACAACAAGATTTAGAATGTTATGTATTACATTTTCTGTTTTGCTATATTATTAAAATTCTGATGAAAACAAAAACAACAACGGGCAACAAAAAAACGGTACGGCTTTGGCATTTGCTTATTTAAATTTTAAAAAAAATACACGTTATTATCTTCGATTTTCATGAGTAGTACATGTAATTAAAACTACTTTTACGGACGTCCATGATGACGAAAAAGCTGTAAATATATTGGAAACATTCGAAATAATAAATGATAGTAAAAATACGAGATGAAAACCGTAACAACAGTTTAAAGTAATTTTACATGTAATAATATACTGTAATATGCGTGTAATATAAAATTATAGGTTATATGATGTAGATATGCGTGAATCCATTTTATTTCATAAGGTAATATTAGGTAGGTATCACTGGGTATTAACCAAAATCTGTTATTACGTTAATAAAGGGATGGTTGCGTCACCGTCTCTTTCGGAATAGCCCACGAAGCTGCCTTAGCGGAATTAAATTATCTTTCATCGTCTGACATAATATTAAATTAAAAATAATTTATTCAATTTACCTCGAATTCGCTAGCGCCGTTCACAGTAATTTATTTTAATAGTGCATTTTTCTCGCCTGTTTCTGTTCAAGTCATGAAATTTCATGAATCTATAGGCATAGTCGGAGACGGTAGATTGGTTATGCTACCGGTAGAGCCGGTTTTTGTTGGCTGACGGTCACCTGATGATTGGATATTATCATTCATGAGCGTAAGCAATGAAAGGGACAAATTCAAGCCGCTACCTAAAATTGGTGATGTCCGTGAGAAAACAAAGAAAATATTTGTAATGCTATTTAATCTAAAACGGGTTTAACGTTGAATTTTAATTCATCTTTATACATGAAAACAACCAAACCTTCTAAGCGTTTGGAGGAAAATGTTCTTTTTAAATACAATCGATTAACCGCTCTTACACCACAAGGGCCCTTTTTGTGTCTGTCATAAATTTATGTAATGCGCGCCGTCAGGTTCACCTACTGAACAAAAAAATCGTGTGTCAAGTGTGGAGGCCGCCAGCCGCAATAATCACAAGAAAAATCATTACAACGGAGATAAGGGGAGGGAGGAGATTCGGAAAGATGGTGAGTGTGTCACGGTCGTGAGCTCGTCCCAATAATGACAAATTGCACATGAGACACGAGCCAACTTGAGACTTGAGGTTGAAGACTCAAATAGCCCAATAATCGTAGCCAGACTACAAATCAGACAATAGATATTTTATAATCTTTACGTATCTGCAATTCGATATTTGTGTCTGAGTTTCGTATATCCGAATATTATTATTCCCTTATTGTGGAAATCGCACGGAAGCACGCCGTGTTAGTTATTTCTATCAATTTAATCAGATAAGCGATAAGCGAACGCAAAAGGACACAATACTAAAAACATCTCGAATATTCCATACGCTCGTCTGCCTAAAATATATGTATAATATATGTATAATATATTTCAATTGATAGTTTGTTTCGGTATCTATATATTAATACGTGAAACAAAAACTTTGTATCCCTTTTTGCGAAAATTGCGCGGACGGAGGAGTATGAAATTTTCCACACTTATAGAGAAGAAGTGCACAATGCTAATATTTTTTTAAAAGATACATTAAATCCATAAAGAAAACATTACACACACTACATACCATGTATTTGACGCACACACGCATGCATACTATTTATTGTCAAACTTTTGTTCTTGACGTCTGTTGTCAAATTGAGAATAGATTGAGAGAATAGATAGATAGTCTTGGCGAAATCTGTGATTATCGAAGTATAAAATACAATCATAATAGTGTACAAACTTACAATTCCAATTAATTATAGTCGAATTTCGACTACTGCGGGACCTCTAGTCTACTTAAATGTTACATTATTACCTACTTTTTTTTTCTTTCAAATATAGTCCCCTGCCGTATTTTCTACTTAAAACTGGTAGTTATCTTATGCGGCTACCTCACAAGTACTTCCTCTTGTTTTATTCTAATAAATAATAAACATTGAAATGTTTAAATGTGTCAAATAACAGCTTATTACGAAATGAATGTGAAATTATTTACGACCAAAAAAAATAATTACAAAATTTGTCTGTCGTTTCGACTAATCTGCATCAATTTGGACGGGATTTTCACTGTCATATAGCTGGATGCTATAGAGATTAATTTATTACATTAATTTTCAAAAATAATTATGGTGCCGCGAAAAAAGTTAAACTTGAAATAAACCTTGAAAATTTGAAAAATTAATATTTGTAGTTTTTTTACTTGGTATTCTGTGTGTGCGAGCGTCATTTCGTCTTCTCGCATTAAAACTATATACGAGTAATATCAAAACTTAATAATTTTACAGGAGAGTGTTTTAAAGTTTAACATGTGATATTTTTAATATTAATCATCTTTGCAACATTTATTTTTTACCAGTTACATTATCTGTCTTTTAAAGTAAGATAGAATTATGTATTAATTTTGTTAATAGTAGTCAAAACATAGGTAAACAAAAAAAAAAAAAAAACTAAACTACGCTTTTTTGACAGTATTTATGAGAAAAATACTGGTGATACCAAATAATTCCGCATATTAACTCAATTTCGAATATTTTTGGAAATTGTACATTGAACATTTGAAAGAAACCCGATTTAAATAGACAAGTATTACATACATTTCACACATAACTACACTAACAAAGCATAGCCGAGTTTATTTAGTTAATCCTAAATTTAAAGTGAGCTGTTTTGATGGTCGTTTCCTCATATGTATGTATCTAAAAGTTATTAATAATTATTAAGATACATGGTTTTTTTTTTCGTCGTTCTTCTTGCGTGAAATTTTCTCCAAGTACTTAATAGCTATTCCTATGCAAATGGTATGCCAAAAAGCTTTTGCAATTTAAACTTCATTAATACTTTATTTATGTTCTCTCTCTGTCTCTCTAAATAAGTTTTTAAATTAAGAATTTTATTATTCGCATTTTCGTTGTGCTTAGTTAAAGATATTTCGCTTCTCGAATTTTTAAGTTTTTATTCGTTTTGAATTGAAGCATTTTTTTAGTGCTATATACACATCTAATTATACTGTACCTACTTATAGTGTACTTACTTGTTATACCTATTTA